TACAACATCACTAGCTAAAGTTGAGGTGTCATGTTTTGTTATATAACACTACTTTATCACTAAGTTCAATCTTAAAAAATCCCATAGGTGTTAGATAGAGGCAGTGTCGTCTAGTGGGTAGAGCACAGGACTCAAAGCCAAGAATCAAGCCTGCTTCCAACTCTTCGTACCCGGGTGGACAAATTGCTTCACTCTGTGAGTCAGTTTTCTCGTCTGTAAAATGGAGATAATATTTATAGTGCTGACTTGGCAGGGTTGTTGTGTGGTTTACATAAGAAATATACGAAGTGCTTTGCAGACTTTAAAACCCTACAAAAATGTCAGGGTGGTTTTCTTTTGGTCCAGATCCGTGATTCCTTTGACCTAAGGAACTGCCAGTGAATAAACTCCCTCAACCAAAGAAGACTTCTACCATATTTGCAGCTTGTAGTCTTGACATTCCCAGTAACATGGGACATTGGGAAATTAAGTGACCTGCCTAGTATCAGATAGTCAGCATGTATCAGAGATAGGACTTGAACCCAAGTCCTCCTGGCTACAATGCAGACTCTCTATGTTCTATATCACACTGCCTCCATCCAATGCCTAAAATTTTATAAATAGTCTTGAATGCCACTGGAGAAAGCTTGGGATGCCCATCAATTAGGGAATGGCTAAGCAAGGTATAGTATGTGATTGTGATAGAATACTATTATGTTGTTAGAAATGATGGGGGTGGTTAGAAAAAACCTGAGAAGACTTAAATGAACTGGTGCAGCATTGAAGTGAGCAGAACCAGGAACACAATCTATACAGTAATAGCAATATTTTAAAGAAAATCAACTGTGAAAGACCTAGATATTCTGAGCAACACAACCATTCATTGTAATTCCAAAAGACTCATGATGAAAAATGCTATCCCCTTCCAAGTAGAGAACTGATGGATTCAGAGTGCATATTAAAGAATATTTTTCTTTTTTTTCTTTTTCTTGCCCCCTGCCCAGCATATCAAATGCAGAAATATGTTTTGCATGGCTTTACATGTGTAATGGGTGTTATATTCCTTGCCTTCTCAATGGGCATGGGAGGGGTAAGAAGGAGGAAGAGAATTTGGAACTGAAGACAAAATAAAATTGAATAATAAAAAAAATTTAAGAAAAGGAAAATTACTCCTTAAATGCCAGATGATGGTAACTGCAACCATTCTGCTCTAAGGCTGGTGAAGGGTTCTGCCCACTACTCAACTCGACCTTCTCAGCTATTGTCAGTGTAAATAGATGAGTAAGATCTTTATCATTGTTCTGGGTTCCAGAGCAGTGATGGTCTCCCACCGGTCTTTCCTCCTGTAGTGCTCATTAGGAAGTAGGTGTGTCAATATGGAAAAAAACTTCTTGTAACTAGCCTCTTGTTCATAACCCCCTTCTACACCAGGAAGGCACAAGAGAAGGTAGAAAGCACAAGAAGGCCATGTCATTTGCCTTGGATCTCCTTCCCCTGTGTCATCATGATGTTGGGAGAGGGAGTGCTCACAAATTATTGTCTCAGCTGGAATTCATCTTATTTTTCTCCCACTTTTAAGTCAGAAGTTCCCACATGTAAAGCCTTACATAAATATCAGGCACTTTTTCTCACACCTCTGGCTCTTGAACCCTTACCAAGCAAATTTAAAGACTTTACCGTATGACACAACCCACTATGTTCCCGTTGTCTCCTTAGTTTGGCATTAAGACATTACTCTCTGTCATTCTCTGACCTTCAGCCACATTAGCTACTTGTTGTTCCCCAAACTCAGTATGCTATCTCTGACCTCAGGGCCTTTGAAGAGGTTGGCCCCATGGCTAAAATGTATTCCCTTATCAATTCTGCTGCTTATTTCAAAGGGTAACTCACATATCACTTCATATGAGAAACTTTCCCTGATCCTCTAGTCTTTAGTGCTGTCTACCCACTCAAAGTATCTTGTAATTACCTCTCTGTTTACATATTACAGCCTACAGTAGACTATAAACTCCTTGAGGGTAGAGAGTTTTGTTTGATATCTCCAAACAGCATTCTCCGTGCAACTTTCCACAGCTCTCAACTGGTGGCATCCATGGCCCTCTTCTGCAGTTCCTAGCTGGTTATGTGTTGCTGCTTCTTTTGTAACTCTTTCTGTGTGTCCCAGCAGTAGGGATCTCCCTGCCCCTCTCAACTTCATATAGATCTCCATCATGTACTTGGTGGAGTCTGGATAAAATCACAGTTGAATATATTCTTTTCCACCACCCCAGGCATTGTGTTACCTAACTAAGTTAGTACTTCCCATGGGTCTAGAAGCTTCCTAAAAATAGCCCTCTGGACCAGGAAGAGGAAAGCTCCTATACTTTGCTGCTTATATTTGAAGAGCCCTTCTTAGATTTTGTGATTCTCTTATAGCACAAGTAAGCTTCTATAATTACAATCAGAAAATCTTTATAATCCCAGAAATATTGTGTAGAAACATTTATCTAACCTCAAAAAATTTGCAGAAGTCAAATTTACATATAGCCAAGAATTAAAGACTCACAGAACATTAATGTTAGAGGAACCTCAGAGATGAATTGCTCTAACTCCCTCCCTCATTTTAAGATGGGTAAACTGAGACCCAGAGAGAGAGGATTTGTCTTGACAGATTTTACACGGCTAGGTAGTGGTACAGTTGTTGTTTAGTCATTCTTCAGTCATGTCTGACTCTTTGTGACCTCATTTTGGGATTTTCTTAGCAAAGATACTAGAGTGGTTTGCCGTTTCCTTCCCTAGCTCATTTTATAGATTCGGAGATTGAGGCAAACAAGGTTAAATGACTTGCTCAAGGTCACACAACTAGTGTCTAAGGTGGGACTTGAACTAAGGTCTTCCAGGCCTGGCACTCTATCCACTGAGCCACCTAGCTGCCCTAGTGGGATAGATAGAACCAGAATTCAAATCTCCTGATTTCTGGTTCAGTGCTGTTGACCTTTTTTCCTGAACTGAGTGGTAGCACAATAAATACATATTCAGCTTGTTGTAGAGTTAATGAGTGGGGGTTGGGGAGTGGGGATTGGGAATAGATTTTCAGAGTTGTAAGGGGCTTGTTAACTAGGTCAATGCCCTCCTTACTGCAAAAGTCCCTTTTATATTTCTGACAAGTAGTCACCCATCCTCTGCTTGAATATATCTAGTGACAGGGAACTCACTTCCTTACAGAGAAGCCATTTCCTATTGAAGAACTCTAATTTTAAGAAAATTCTCCTTGGTAGTGACCTGAAATCTCATAGGATTATAGATTTAGAATTAAGAGTGGCCTGAGGGGTCTTCTAGCTTATCTTCTTCACTTTGTAGATGAAGAAAATGAAACCCAGAGAAGTTTAAATGACTTGGCCAAAGTTGCACAGGTAGAACCAGGATTCGAACCGAGGTCCTCCTACCCTGAATCCATTGCTCTTCCTACTGGTCCCTTATTAATTTACTGCTAATTATTTACTCGTGTATTATTTTATTATTTACAATTATTACTTTATTATTTGCTGACTATAGTTAAAGTAAGGTAAGAACACCATTACAGACCTTAATGTATCTTGAGATGATAGTAGCCAGAGCAAATAATATGAAGAAGCAGATGGATGCTGCCAAACATATGGACTTGCCAGTGTGAAATGACTTTAAACTTGTGCGATTTTAAAAGCAAAGCAAGTTTAAGGCTTGGGTGCCTTTGAGCTCTGTAACCTGCTGGGAATATCTTGTATTTTAAGCTCTCCCACTGAAAGGAGAGGCTACCTCCTCTACCTCCAGCTAACTTTATTTAGAAGGAGTTTCTACATGGGCTGCTCAGGCTCAGTCACCTGGGAACAGGGCTCTGCAGTTTTACACCAGGGAGACTAGCATTAGAGGCCTTGAACTATTACCTCCTACTCTGGGGATTTAACAGAAAGAACAACAAAATCAGAAACTCAAAGCAAATCTGCCAGACTTTGAATGGGGCTGAATATCTGGCATAGATAGATCTGTGAAGAAAGCATCTCATGGATCACATCTTTTACTCCCTAGTCCTTGAGTAATGGAAGCGTGAGAACTGTTACCGAGTCACACGATTGAAAGCTGGAAGGGAACGTTCTGTAATCTAGAACAACTCTCTCATTTTGCTGATGAGGAAACTCAGGCTCAGATAAAAGGAACTTGCTCAAGGTCACAGACATATAAAGTAGTAGATTTGAACCTACGTCCTGTGATTCCAAGTCCTGTGCTTTTTCCCACCAGATAGGGTGGCATAACAACAACATTAATAGCTAATATTTATTCAGTACTTTAAGGTTTGCAAAACGCATTGTATATTATCTCATTTGATAGAATGCTGGAATCAGAAACAGGAAGATGTGGGTTTATAGAGTGTTAGACTTGGAGTAAAGAAAAATCCAGAATTCAATTTCCACCTCTGTGTGACATTTATTAGCTACAGGACCCTAAGCAAATCACTTTATCTCCCTCAGCCTCATTTTCCTTCCCTGTAAATGTGGATGCTAATACTTGTAGTACCCACTTTATAGGATTGTTGGGATGCTCAAGTGAAATAGAACATAGAGTGCTTTGCAAACCTTAAAGTCCAATTTAAATGTTAGATGTCATGGAGAATATACATTTTCATGACAATTTTTATTTTACACAGTGCTTTATGATCTTCATTAATTATCTTTCCAAACAGACTTTTAAATTGGGCAGTAGAAAGCTCCTTGAAGACAAGATGATTTTTCTTTTTTTGTATTTGTAACTCCAGAACCAATTGCCATGTGTATAGTAGGCACCTCATTAATGTTTAATTGTGTGGAGTAGGCATATGCTAATGTTGCCAGATTACAGACTGCCCTGCTCTATTTACTGTGTGACCCTAAAATACTTAACCCTTCTAAGCCAAAGTATTTCTCATCATGGGAACAAATGAGTAAGGAATTCGTGTTGTTGCCCATTCCCAAGAGAAAACTGAAGAAATAAATGAGTGTGAACTAAACTGTTTTCTCTCTTGTGTTTAGGTCAACATCTCCAACTTCAGCTTGGTAATGGAGTCTGACTTGGGCAATTTCATGCCCACAGGTCTAGCATTCACTGGAAGTGATAAAGCCCGGGCTATTATGAAGGAGGTCATGAACCTGCTACAACCCATAAATACCACCCAAGTCTTTGGGGATGGAGAAGGAGTTGACATTAACTACTGGATCCAAGCTGGAGTACCTGGTAAGATTTGGAAAATAGGCGTGTTGAATTGAAGTGAAGTGGACTGTACAATCACAACTTTTGAAATTCTAAAGATGTATTCCAATATGACCAGATGGAAATGCCAGAGGCGACCCTACTTATTCCTGGTGTGGGCAGCCACCTGAACATTGTGATTTGAGGAGCATCCAGGAAAATCTGCTGAACTAAAACACCTCCCATCCTAAATCCCACATGGCCCCACCATTCTCTTGGGGTTCTAGCCTTCCGAGCTCAGCTAAGAGCTAGGCATGCAACGAAAGGCAAAAAACATGGTTCCTGCCTTCAGTGAACTCCCTTTTAATGGGGGAGACACCATACAAACAACTCAATGCATACAAGATATGTACAGTGTAAATGTAAATCTCAGTGTAGCAGTATACATCTCAGTATGAACAGTATAATTTTCCGAGGGAAACACTAACATTGGAAGGGACTAGGGTGGCTGGGACCGTGTTGCAGAAGGTGGAAGTTGAGCTGAGACTTAAAGGCTGTCAGGAAAGCCAGGAGGTAGAGGTGAAGAGGGAGACTGTTCCAGCTACAGGAGAAAGCTAGTGAAAAGGCACAGAGTCAGGAGATGGGGTATTGTGCAGTTGAAATAGCAAGTTGTCCAATGTCATGTATGACAGAATACCTAGAAAGCAGTAAGATGTAAGGAAACTATCAGTGTAGGAAGAATCCAGGTTATGAAAAGCTTTAACAGCCATTCCGAGGATTTTATATTTGATCCTGGAAGATCATGTATGTTTCTTCAGTTTGTTCTGTTTTCCTTTTGAGTCAAGTGGTATAGTAGATACAGTGCTAGCAGGAAGGCCTGGCTTCAAATGTGATTTCTGACACTGATACTAATACTGATATTGATAATATCAATAGTAGCTTTTATGTAGTGTTTACTATGTGCCAGGAACTGTGCTAAGTGCTTTACAGATATCTCATTTAATTCTTGCAACAACCTCGGGAGGTAGGTGCTGTTCTTATCCCCGTTTTATAGATGAGGAAACTGAGGCATAAAAAAGTTAAGTGACTTACTGAAGGTGTCTGAGATGGGATTTAAACTCAGGTCTTCCAGACTCCAGACTCAGTACTCTATCTACTGTGCCACCTACTACTTGTGCAACTATGGGTAAGTCACTTAATCTCTGTGGGTGTTCTTCATCTGTCAAATGAGGATAATAATAGTACCTACCTCCCAGATTGTTTGAAGGAATAAATGAGATAAGAATTGTAAAGCACTTAGAATAGTATGTGGCACATTGTAAGTGCTATATAAATGTTAACAATTACTATTACTGTTATTATCATTATTATTTATCATCTGTAAAATAAGGGTCATTGGACCAAATTGTCTCTAAGGTCCCTGCCAGCTCTAAATCCATGATTCTGTGAGTTAAGAATCTTAATAGAAAATGAGGGCACATGAGCCAATTGAGATAGATTTATGAAATATTGTATGATCATGATTTTACACTTTAGACCCTTGGCCAAGCTGAGAAAGAAAGCTTGGCCACAGAATTAGAAGGGAGGGATCCAGACTGGTTCCAGGGAGCATTCTGGGCATTGGTGCTCACCTACCTGTCTTTCCTACTCCAATGCCCATGTAGAAAGCCCATGTATATTAGTACAGTAGAAAATTTCCTATAGCATTAACTCCCTTCTACCCCCAAGAAGATGCAAGAGAAGGTATAAGATGCTGCTCTGTGATGACATTTGACATGGGCCTCCTACCACTGTGTCATCATCATGGCATGAAGGTTGCCTTGCTCAGCAAACAGCTTTGGTTGTTATAGTATTCTCACATCCTGCTTGTAACAACATAGGATCAAGTAACTGTAACAGCTGGGAGATCAGATTGAGTCTCATGCTGCAGCTTCTCTGAATTTTTTAAATTGAGCTTGTTTCCAGGTTCTGTCTCTAAAGGAAAGGGAGTGGAAGAGGACAGGTAACCTCATACTAGCCTGCCCTCCAGAAGCTTAGGCTCTGCTTTCAATAGTATTTTTTTTACTTTGAAATCTTCTTTCAATTCACTTCTACAAACATTTAATTAAGTGACTATGGATAGGTACTGTGAGAGGCAAGAGGGATAGAAAAAAAAATTTCACTATGTCAGCCCCTGTCCTCAAGGAGCTTATATTGTATTGTTGTTTTGTAAAACATTTCTACAGCTAGCTGACCCAGTGGATAAGAGTGCTAGGCCTGGAGTCAAGAAGATCTGGTTTCAAATTCAGCCTCAGATATACTAGCTGTGAGATCCTGGGCAAATCTCTTAATCTCTGTCTGCCTCAACCTTAAATGGGGATAATAATAGCACCTACCTCCCAGGGTTATTGTAAGCATCAAATGAGATAATATTTGTAAAGTGCTTAGCACAGTGCTGGTGCATGATAGGTGCTTAATAAGTTCTTGTTCCCTTCTCCTTCCCATCCCTACTATGTGCACTGTGAGAGGCAGTAGAGATACAAAGAAAAAAATTTCACCATGTCAGTCCCTGCCCTCAAGGAACATAATTATTTTCTGTAATTGTTTTGAAAAGCATTTCTATAGTCACAAAGATTTCATAACTACAAGAGCAAATAACCATTCCCTCCCCACTATCATATGCAAACAACACAGCTATTTTTTTATTTGTAAAGTAGATTTCACCAGCAGTGTACTACATATGTTTAAGGTGTTTTTTTTGCGGGGGGGGGGGAGATTAATGGCTCATATTCTACTGTAACACTGTAGATCACAATCATATTTTTGGCTTTATGGCTTAAAATAATCTTTCACAACTAAAAATAGAATAAGCTATCTTAAAAAAATACAGGACCCAAATTCTTTTCATTCTCTGTGTGTGTATATGTTAACCAAACTTTGAGATTGTCTTAAAGGAACAGTCCTGTTCATAGCACTAGTAAGTATATCATTTAGACCAGACATCTCAAACTATCCAATGGTGTGAGAGTTCAATCAAGAAGCATCTATTTGGCAGGCACTATGTGCTGTATCCATTGCTAGGTGGGATGGATACAAATGAGATGTGAAACAGTTTCTCATCTCAAGGACCTGATCCTCTCCTGGAGGGACAGAACAATTTTGTGCGTAAATTAATAGAGAACATAGATAAAATAAGTACAACGTTATTTGAAAAGTGGGACACACAATTAGGAGCATTAGGAAAGGCCTTTTGAAGGGGTTGGCTCTTGACTTGAGTTTAGAAGGAAGCTAGGGTTTCTAAGATGTAGAGATAAGAAAGGAGAACATTTTAGGCATGGGGCAATGGTGAATGGCCTTTGCAAAGGCATGAAGGTAGGAAATAAGATGTCAGATACAGGGAAAAATGATTAGACCAGATTGGCTAAAGTTAGAATCCATGAGGGGAGTAATGGGTAATTATCCTGGAAAGATAGTCTAGAGTCAGATTGTGAGGGGCATTTAATGCCAAAGAAGTTTATATTTGGCCCTAGAGGCAATGGGGAACTTCTTGGTCAGGGAAGTTACATGATTGGTGTCTTTAATTACTCTCATTCAGTGACATTCAGTAAATATCTACGAAGGGTCTGTTACAGGCTTTGTTCTTATTGTGCTTATTGCTGTAGAGGAAATGAAAAAGAATCAGTTGGAATCCCTGCCTTCACTGAATTTTTTTCTGGTACTTTGGTCATTTATTATTGTTTCTTCTGCAGTCAGTCATCAACTTAGTGTCTGGAGGCATGACTAGTACCAGTTAAATTATGTTGAAGAATTATTTTTCTGAAATCCTAGTTCTCCAGCTGAAAGTTTCTTAAGATGGATGAATCAATGAACAATCATTTACCAAGCACATGCAAAATTCCAGATCAGTCCATTTGCTATCTATAGCTTTGGGCAAAATTGTGGTGAAATATAGGAGAGTTGGGGGAAGGGAGGAGAGAGTGACGGTAATGGCCAAAATGAGCTAGAATCAGAATTTTAGACCTAGAAGCCAACTTGGACATCCTATTTAATCATATCTTCTCATTTTATGGAGAAGTTAAATGATAATTCTTAGTTCGTAGAAATAATCAATGACTGATCTGAGTCTAGAACTTTCATCTAATGGCTCAGTATTTGTGCTGGTACATGCTACTGTTGGAGATCATCTGTGGAATGTACATTTCCATGATGTCTATCTTTCTAGCTAAACTGGATAGCTAAGATGTACTCCTATCATTTTTTTTCCTATATAGAGCTTGCATAAAGCCAGATCCATTCAGTAGTAATATATTGCAATTGTTGACCTGTTGGTTAGTCTTGTTAAATTGTCAACTTTGATTTTTTTTCTGCTTTAATGAAACTGAGATATGTGGAGCACCATGGGTACCAGAAACCCTCCACTCCCATGATAGCATTATTGGGGGTTCTGGACTAATGAAATCATATTTTGTGTTATTTGAACTACTTTTAAGTTTCTTAAGGGATACATTTCTTCATTTCTACTGGTATGGAAGATTTTAGTTCAACTCTCTACCGGAATAATTTGTGTCTAGAAGAAAGGAGTATGTTCTAAATAACTCCTTTTTTTTTTTCATCTCTCATTCCCCTCTTTTTCTCTAGATAGGGTATGCTATTGTAGTTAGCAGTTCATTTAAAGCAATAAATGTTTTCCTGGAATTCTCTTTAGTTTCCTTTTGAGTCCTATGATGGGAACTGGATGATTGCTGTTTTCCCCTTAGTTCTTTTGAAACTAGTATTGAGGCTTTCATATTTTTTTTACTATTCCTAGAAGTTAAGATGAGACTGCTTTAGTTGTGATTCTTATTCCTCATTGAAAATTTCAGGAACTAGAAATTTTAGAAAAAGATGAAGAACAGCAGGTAGTCTCAAATGGAAAATTAAAATGTACCAGTTGGGTGTTCTTTCACCCTTGGAGACCTAATGCACTCTGATGGCTAAAATATAAGCATTGTTACCCATGTAAGCATACTGATTAAATTGTCATTTGAAGAGTTATTCACCCAACTCTTTTTTTTTTCTTTTTTTTT